ACAGCCGGGCAGTGAGCTGGGTGATTCCCAGGCTCAGGAGACGGGCTCTTCCAGCTCCTCTTCACCTCCTCCCCACGCAGTCCTGCTGAGAGAGACCACGGGCTGAGCTGGCCATGGAGCTGCAGGGTCGGCGGCTGGCCCGCGTGTGTAGGCTGCACTAATCTTGCACGGGATCTTGGGGACATCAGTCCCCACAGCAATCTGCTGGGCAGTGAGCTGGGTGATTCCCAGGCTCAGGAGACGGGCTCTTCCAGCTCCTCTTCACCTCCTCCCCACGCAGTCCTGCTGAGAGAGACCACGGGCTGAGCTGGCCATGGAGCTGCAGGGTCGGCGGCTGGCCCGCGTGTGTAGGCTGCACTAATCTTGCACGGGATCTTGGGGACATCAGTCCCCACAGCAATCTGCTTAGCTCACGATTTCCTCGGGGAGAGGCTTTACAGCCCTTCCCCGGGGTGGTCTTGACAGCCTTTCCGAGGTGTTGAGCCCCTGCCCGTGCCTCGCCGTGCTGCCGGGGATACTCCGCGTCCTCCCAGGATGGAGGAGGAAGGGGCCCAGATCCCCCCCCACGCCACGCTTTGCCTTTGGGAAAGCCTCTTGCAATGGTACAGTGATCCCAGCAGTAAACATACACTTCACAGGGCTGCTAATGGGAACCATATGGCAGAAAGGGGCCTCTCGCCCTCCGCAGTCACGCTCCTTTCCTGTGCCGGAAACCCATCGGCTTTTGGAGAGGCCATTCGGCAGCGCCGGGCTGGGGCCCGCTGGGAACAGGCTGGCGCAGCAGCGAGGGCAGCCCGGACGGCCCCGCTGGTGAAGGGAAGGGGTGAAACGCTCCCTACACCCGCCCTGGCTGTGGGAAATACGATGCTTCGGAGACAGGTTGCCAGCAGGGAGATTGGGGAATTCCCTTGAGGGGCCACCCCAGATGCTTCCCTCTCCCTACATCTGCCACCAGGGTCAGGCAGGAAGGTGAGAGGGGACTGGAGAGGCTGCTAGGCAGAAGCGCTGTGACCAAGCAGCTTCTGGGATGAAAGTTGCCTTCCTCACCCCAAACTGCTCCCTGTTTGGTGCTAAAAGACAGAGCGGTAGCACCTCTCTAGCTGCTCGCACACGGCAGCAGGCACATGGCCCCTGTGGATGCCAGACAAGCTCCAACCCCAAGGTCCTGAGTTGACCACCGGCTTGCTGAGATCACGAAAAGAAAACCCTGGAGCAGGACCAGCAGCTGAGCAGCTGCCGGTGGTGACCTGGGCAGGTAGAGCTGGCAGCTAACGCCCCAAGTGCATCCCGCTGGCTGTGGTGCCACGTCTCTGGAGCACACCGCAATGCCATGCTGTGGCCACCACTGCTGCCATCAGAAGCTGCTCCATCTCCCTGGGTAGTTGTCACAAGCCCAGATCCCTTGGAGAATCCCTTTTGTCCACACCAGCCATCAGATGGAAGAATAGAGGCTGTAAGGGAAAGTGGTTCTCACCTTGTCCTTGGCCAAATACTTGAAATTGCTGGCTGCATGGCCAGGAGAGGACAGTCCTCAGTCCTGCTCTTCCTGGGCTGCACAGATGGCTAAGTGCCTTAGGGAACAGAGGTTTGGAGAAGTCAGATCTAGCAGTTATGGTGCCAGCCTACATTGTGGAGACTTGGACTCGGCTTTCTGGCTTTGTCACAGATGCCCTCTGCGCTCCTCAGAACACCAGCGAGCCCCCACCCGTGCGCTGGAGGGTTGCCCTAGCAATCGTGAAGGCTTCAGAGCATCAATGTGGCAGCACGTCCTTCAGCAAAGCCTGTGCCACTGGGGGTCCCTCCACTCATGGAGGCTTGTGTTGACTGCCTTGGGCTCAAATCCCATCCTTGTGCTTCCTTGGAAGAGCGAGGACAGCAGCTGAGAGCCTCCTAGAAACCCTCCTGCGGTTTCTAACTTGTTCTGTTTCTCTTATCGCTTCAGCACACCCTTCCCCTTTGAGATTTCTACTCTTGCCTCCTGTCCTCCGGCAGGAAGGATGTTTAGCAACTTCTGCTCACATGCCTGTAGGGCAGCTACAACCGAGGGGACGTCTCGTTTGAAACGAAGGTTGGGAGAGCGCGGGCACGGGGCTGCGAGCAGGGTATGTGCACGGAGGGGCAGAGGGATGTTAAGGGGAAGGAGAACTGGAGGATGGGGCTGGATGGAGAACATCAAGCCATGGGGTAGGATTAGTGGGATGGCAAGGAAGGGAATAGGGTTTGGGGGCAAGAGAAGCAAAGGAACAACTAGTAGGTGGAAGGAGCCAGGGAGGAAGGGCAAGAGGGGGATGATGGAGAGACTGGGGAAACTGAGGGAAAGAAGGTGTCTGGGGTAGGGGAGGAAGATGAGCTGTGAGGGAAGAGGAAGAGAAGCTGGGGGTGGAGATGTGTTTGTGGCAAAGACAGGGGAGAAGGTGAAAGGCAGGTGAAAAGGGGGAGGGTTGTGCACCCACATTAGAGGCGTGCATGGGGTAGGGACACTGGGTTTTCTGGGTTCCTCAGATTCCCCTCGGGGTCCGCTGGGCTGTGCGCCCCGTACAGACCCCGGAGGCATGAGAGGGAAGGTCCTGTCACAGGGGCAGAGAGGGGCTGTGGGCTTGGGCTGTGAGCTGCTGCTGCCAGGGCTGCTCCTCGGCCAGCTCTGCCCCGACCCCAGCACACGCCGGGGACGGCAGCAGCCGCCTGTGTTCTACCATCTGCCCCGCGAGCAGGAAATAACAAGCAAACCGCAGAGGAGACGGGAAATGATTTAGGTAAAATAGGAGCCGTATTCTCAGACGAGGCGGTGAGATGTTTGCGACGAGGGCCGTCCAGCCCTCTGGGGCTGCGAGGGGGAGCCCAGCTCACCTGCCACTGCTCAGGACCTGGAGCAAAGGTCTCTCAACTCTGAAAGTGGCCACTAATTTTGGGTGCTTTGCTGGGCACAACTCAAGCTTAGTGTCAGCTGCTGGGTGTTGGGACTTTTTAGGCAGCCAAAGAGCCCCTCAAATCCAGGGCATGTTTGCAAATGTCACCGTGAGACTGGCATTGCAGAGATATCCTCTGCCCCAAGCCTTCCACCTGGGCACATCTTCTGCTCTGGGGCTTTCTCAGGGTCCACCCTAGCCCTGGGGCAGCAGAAGAGTTTTTTGGGGGATATATGAGGACGAGAGGTTTCAGTAGGAAAGGAAAGCAGCCCCAGACAGGAGGGGGCGAGGGAGTTTGCTGCCCAGCACATCCCCACCGTCACAGAGCTGCACAGCCACCCCTTCACCCGCCTGTTCCTTGCTCTGCTCCTCCCTCAGCATCATTTGCTCAACGTCACAGCTCTGTCTTGCATATGCAAAACAGGCTCATCAAGCCTGATCTTTTATGGGTATTTTGAAGATAAGGTGCAACGGGGAAACCCCCCCCGAGGATCTGTCATTGCCTTTTCAGCTAATTTTTACCAAAAGGGGTGATTTGCAATGCTGCTGGTTTTTTTCTGTGCTGCATTTATGTCCAAGATCTGTCAAACTCATCCTCCTGGGCACTCTGCACATCACACAGAGGCCACAGCTTACAGGTCTCAGCCTAAAGGCAACGTGGGCTCCCCAGAAAAGACAAAATCCCCATCACTCACTCCACTGAGCTGTGATCCGCTCCGTTCAGCAAGGCTTTTCTGGGCTAAAATTAGACTAAAATCACAGTCCTTGCTCCAGCAACACCAGTCCTTTCGTGGCTACATCAGTGAAACACTGGGCGCTGGTTTTGCTGCCTCGGCAGGACAGTGGCTCTGGCTGGGAGCAGCAGTCCTACTGCTGACAGCTTAGCCATTGCCTGGCAATTGCCTTCCATGTGTGGGTTTGGAGCAGAAGCCGTCACTTCACCTTCTGCTCATGTTTCCAGCAGCCCTCTCCCAGCCCAGCCCAGCATCTTTGTTGAGGACTAGAGTTACTAAGCTCTAGCTCGGTGCCCCGGCTCACCTGCCAGCTTCCTAAAAGTGAGCGGTATTCCAGACTTGCCTCTCCTGTCTGCCAGTCCAGTCTCACTTGCCTAAATCTCTTGGAGCCTTCAAGAAACCCCTAGGCCAAAGAGGCTGCACTGAGCCCACGGAGCAAGCTTGGAGTGTGCCACTGTCACGCACCAGCTCCTGCAGAGCGGTGCAGCTGCCGGGTTTGGGGTGATGAAACCAGCCACGCTCCCGCTGACATTTCCTTTCCAGGTGTTGCAAGAAGAGGTCTGTCTTAGACACCTCCCCAGGGAACATCGGCCCACAGCCTTCAAGCTCAGGATTAAACAGACAGAGGAGGGGAAGGAACCATGTTCCAGGCCACAGGACCCGCCAGCCCACCCCCAACTCATGTACGTAGCAGCCCTCACGGTTTGTATGGGAATTTCAAACAGGGTGTTGGATCTCTGGGATGGAGGGTTGTGTACAGAAGCTGTATTCCAGACTTGACATTTTAGGGTGATCAAAGGCATGCTCACTGCTGCTCAGACAACAGAACTGGGGACAGGAATGTTCCAGCAGAAGGTGCTGTTTGCTGAGCACATTGCAACGCCAGCGTCCAGGCTCTGGTCCGTACAGAGCTGCTCACCCTGCTCTCCTCTCCGGTTGCCGTCTGTTTGTTTGTGTTTCCATGGCTTTCTGTGATCACAATTGAGATCATGCGAGCTGCCTAGGATGGGAGTGATTGGAGATGGAAAAACATAAAGGCTTAAGAACATCTCCTGCTGGGACAGGATATGGCCCTTCCCCGAGGGATGATATATCAGATATGAAATAGATAGTGTGCCTGATCGGAGCCAGAAGGCTGCCGAGAAGTGACGAGCAACGGTGGATTGCCTGTAGCCTTGGGAACGGATGCATTCCAGCTCCGAAGAGGCAGCGTTTTCCTTAGTGCTGGTCAGCCGAGCCTGGAAACAGTCTATTAAACCCTAACCCCAGGAGAGCACCTGCGGTTGTTTTACCAGGGCCAAGGGATGCAACCGGTTTTACACGGCCCGAGTCTCCTCGCTGCCCATGTCCCTCTGTTGACTTTGGCTTACTCTTCCAGCCTTGTGGGAGTGGGAGGAAAATCACGTCCCTGACCTCAGTCAATGAGAGCAGCTGGGAAACGTCTGAAGAGGCAGCTCAGCGAAGTGAGAGTTTCCTGTGCGTCCCTTAGACAAACTGTTTCCAAAAATACAAAGGAGAAACGAGGGGGAAGGACGAAGCAGGAGGAACGGGGATGGAAGATCAGCCTGGGGGCAGAGAGAAGGGGCAGCGGTGGCCAAGCAGAGGCAAACCAGCAGCAAGAGGAAGGACGAGGAGGCAGCGGGGTGACGTTCTGGTCATACTGTCCCAGCCTTGGGAACAGGCAGCGCAGAGGGTGAGCCAGTCTGCTGTAAAGCGGTCCTGGCTGGTCCACCTTGCTAAAGGTGCGTTTACCCCTTTGGCCCTGTTGGAAGGAAGAAAGGAGCATTTTCATCAGTGCAAAGGCAGCCTGAAGCACTTGCAGGTGGCTGACTGGGACCCAGTGGGTGCCTGCGCACCCTGCGGAGGCTGCAGGACAGTGGGGCAAGCGAGAGGGAGGTGATTTGGGAGGAGAGGAATTGTTGCAGCTGCAGATGGGAGAGCACGCAGAGACCCTGCTCCAAGGTCCCCGGGGGCAGCGGTACGAGCATCTCGGAGTTTGGATCCCTCTGCCCTGTTGCTCCTCCCGCAGCTGCAGGATCCGAGCAGCACCCGCCCCCACCAAGCTGCCGCATTGACGGAGCGTGTCTCCAGCTCGCCCCGCTGCCCCTCCTGCCCTCCCCACGCACACGCCCCGAGCCCGCAGGGACTCGGAGGCTTTTCGATCTCGCCCACGGCGCGCAGGCGTTTCCTGTGCAGCGCCGCAGCGTGACGGGCGATAACGGGGCTGGCGGAGGAACTCAGCAACAAAACATCCGCTGAGGGGGAACCAGCCCAACGCGTCCATGAGAGCGAGGGGCACCCCCAGTCATGCCCTGGGGGAACCAGCAGCCTACCACCCTCCGACGGCAGGCAGAGACCCACGCTGGCAGCATTGCTAGAGCCCTGTGCACCTCCAGCAAGGGTTAGTTCTCTCTCCAAGCCTGTGGGGTAAATGGAGGCCAGAAGGAGCACGAGCAGCACCTCACACCAAAGCAGAGCTGCTGTTAGTAAGTGCATAAGCCAGCAGTGACGATGATCCGGGGAGTTTTGCCAGGGGCTTGTGCTGCAGCAGCTCTGCAAAGCCCTTTCCCCCTCTCTGCCTGCCACGGGCCCACACGGTCCCCACGGTGGGTGGAAGCAGGGCTCCTCTGCTTTGCTGTTGTTGCTCCCGAGAGGCTAGTGCCAGCCCTCTCTGGTCTGAGGCACGCATGGTGGTGGCACTGGGTAGCCAAGGACAGTAATCGATGCCTGCAGACGGTGAGAGCTGCCCATCAGTGGCTGCTGGGAGCAAGGGAGGGCTGTCACCCTGGGGTCGTGCTCTGCAACGCCTGCGCTGTGACATCTCCTGGATCTGTGCTTGGGTGCTACCACCACAAAAGAGGTCAGCTATACCTTGGCCAAAGAAGAAACAAAGCCATGACACGCTCCTACATCGGAGACAGGGGCCTCTGAGCAGAGCTGGATGAGAGCTGGCTGCTCTGCCCCCACGGCCCCGGGCGAGTCCCACAGCCTCCTAGTGCCCAATTCCTTCTCTGCAATATGTACACGGTTTTTCCTCTTTTTCTATTTCCCTCTCTTCCTTCTCCTCTCTTTGGGAAAAGCACCACAGCGCAGGAAGTATCTGGCACACGAGGACCTGACAGAGGTCGTGGCCTCTGGGCAAGTGAGTTCAGAGATGGTCACCACGTGCCCGAGACAGCCAGGCAGAGGCTGCTGGTGTGTCCCAAGGTCCTGCAGCTCAGCTGCCTGTACCGATCCTCTGCTGCTCCTCCTTAAGCACAACTCAGTGCCAGGCTTGTCAGTGCAGGCTCTCATTTCAATTTCTCTTCTCCTTCCCTTCCTAGGAGGCAAAGAACAACTCAGGAGGCAGCACGGTGCAGCGCTCCAAGGTATCCGCAGTTTTACCACATCCTACTGATTCACAGTGAGGGGGGAAGGACCGAAAGCCTAAAGCCCAAGCACCAATCCAGCCCAGCATCACTGGAGCGCTACAGGGAGGGCGAGGGGAGATGGGGTTGCTTCATGCTAGCCAAATGCTCCAGCAAATGGCAGCAAGGATGTTAGGGAAGAGAGCTGTGGTAGGAGCCAGGCACAGGATATCCCAGACCCCTTCCTCATCGTCTTTCCCTTTGGTCTCTCCTTGCCCAGTCCTTCAGCCTGAAGGCTCAAGTGAAGGAGATGTGCACTGCCTGCCAGAAAACCGTCTATCCCATGGAGCGACTGGTGGCGGATAAATTCGTCTTCCACAACGCCTGCTTCTGCTGCAAGCACTGCCACACCAAGCTCAGGTGAGCTGGGCTGGGAGGCTGCCGTGGTGCTTGCTGCTCGTAGAATTGTTTAGGTTGGAAAAGATCTTTAAGATCATTGAATCCAACCGTTAACCCAGCACTGCCAAGTCCACCACTAGACCATGTCCCCAAGCACCACGTCTACGTGTCTCTTAAATACCTCCAGAGATGGCGACTCCACCACTTCCCTGGGCAGCCTGTTCCAATGCTTGACAACCCTTTTGGTAAAGAAATTTTTCCTAACGTCCAAGCTAAAGCTCCTCTGGAGCAACTTGAGGCCATTCCCTCTTGTCCTATTACTTGTTATTTGGGAGAAGAGACTGACCCCCACCTGGCTACAACCTCCTTTCAGGTAGTTGTAAAGAGCAGCCCTCAGCCCCCTCTTCTCTAGGCTAAACAACCCCAGTTCCCTCAGCCACCCCTTGTAAGACTTGTGCTCTAGGCCCTTGACCAGCTTCGTTGCCCTTCTCTGGATGGCAAGGGGGATGGGTGTCACCGTGGCTCTGCCCAGCCTGGGTGGGGGAGGCCTTTCCAAGTAGTGCACCCACCCACCCCTCACAGCCCCTCCTCTCATTGGGTAGCAAAAGACCCCCAGCCCACTCATCGCAGCAAAAAAAGGGCTTCTCTGCCCCCCTGGTCCCAAGTCTCAGCTAAACCCCACCCGGTATGGAAGAAGAATTTTTTCCCCTCAAGAACAGCCACGAGGTAACATGGAGCTGAGCCAGAGCTTCCTCCTAGATGACACAGAGCCAAGGCTGAGCTGCCCTGCAGAAGCCCCCTCTTTACAGACCTTTAATGCTGCTCACAGCAGCCCCTAACACCCTGAGCTGGCTGGAGCGAGCAGCCAGCCCTTCCTAAGGGTCCCCTCCTGCGTGTTCCCTCCTCCTTCCTCCTGTCCCTGTGCCCCTGAGCCTCACCCGCTGCCCCCCAACCTGCAGCAGAGTCCCTGTGCCGAGCTAACCCTGCCCTCCTTCCCCAGCCTGGGCAGCTACGCGGCGCTCCACGGGGAGTTCTACTGCAAGCCCCACTTCCAGCAGCTCTTCAAGAGTAAAGGCAACTACGACGAGGGCTTTGGGCGCAAGCAGCACAAGGAGCTGTGGGTGCACAAGGAGGTGGAGAGCGGGACCAAGTCGGCGTGAACAGGGTCAGCCCACCCTTCCCTGGAGCCCAGCAGAGACGGCACGGAGCAGTGCTGAGCCGGGGGCTAACTGAGCTGATGTAAAGCAAAGGGGACCCAAGAGCCTGTGGGTGGGAAGGGAAGGGAGGCAGCCCAGCCCTTTGGAGGATGCTTAGAGGGGTCCTACAGGCCCCAAGGACAGGGCAGAGGTGACTGGGGTAGAGCCCCCAGACCTGAAGCCCTCTCTCTGCAGGCCGCTCTCCCTGAGGAGATCAGACCAGAAACACTTGCCTCCATGGGAACTCCAGCCCTGTTCATGCATTTCAGGCCTGCCACCGTGGAAAAGGAGATGAGCTGGGGGCTTAACCTGGCCTCTACGTCACAGCAGAGCTCCCAGCTCCTGCCACACCAATCCTGCCTTGCTGGGGCTCTGAATAAGGAGGGTCCTTGGTTTACATCAGCTCAGTTCAGCTGGGATTGTTCAGCCTTAAGGATGCTGCCCTGCGACTGTTTAACAGTGTCTGTCTTTTTTATATTTGCCTTTGATTGGTACGTTCTGCGCTGGAGCCTGGCACGGCAGCTTCACGCGTGACACTGCGCCATGCGCTCTTTTATTTTTGTAATACAAGGTTTCTGAGCCTTCCCTGACTTGTCCTGTGTTCCCAGGGGTCCGGGGAGGTGGGAGTAGCAGTCAGGTTTGCCTCTTAGCGCGGAAAAAGCCTCTGTCCATGCAGGATTAAGAAAGTACTCCTGGATACCTGTGTGTAATGTTATGACTGAGGCAGATGGGTCCTTTGGGGGCTGGACCCAGGATTTCAAATTGCACGCCAGCAGTAGAACTCCGTGAGCTACACACCCCGGCTGTAACCCCACGCCAGCTTCCACGTGGAGCCCAGACCACCCTCGAAGGGGATTCACCGTCCTGTGAATTAGATCCCCCTCTCTGCCCTGCATACATTTCGTGGCTTACACGCTTCCCCCTCCATATCACTAAACACCATGCCCTGCCTCCGCGAGCAGGTGCTGCCCCAATTCACTCCGCAGCCGTGCAAGGGGCAGGATGGGCATCAGGGCTGGGCTGACCGGTGCCGTGCAAGGTCTGGTTTGGGTCAAGCCCATCTGCTGAGCTGTGATGTTTGGATAGCACAGTCTGTACAAATTAATGACCCCAACAAGACCTGCCAGGCTGGAGAGCCTAATGCAGTGAAACCAGGGAAGGCAGGTGAGTCTGGTTTTAATTATTATTTACCTCCTTCCTCCACATATGACTTGTAAGACTAGCTTGAAAGAGTAAGCATTCAGGAGCCCCCCATCTTTCAAATGCTTCAGGAATTAGGCTTTTCAGAGCCCACACAGCACAGAAACTAGCAGAGCCCACACAGCAGAGCAACAGCCTTTGGTATCAACAGCAAGAGCCCCTGTTCCATCACTGACTGATAACATCAGCTCCCGCTGAGCATGTCCTGTCTGGGAGAATCCAGGCACAGCCATGAAAAGAGCAGCTAAGGATTGAAAAGGGAAAAAGAAGGGTATGGGTAGCCCACAGGAGTCCCAGGAGGACCAGACAGTATCTATAGAGATATGTTCTTAACCCAGGTCACGGTGGTACTTCTCCCTCAATAAAAAGTCCTCCTGGGGCTCTGGGTGTGCACCACCAGCCAGGCAGCATCTCCCCCGCTCTCCTTCGCTGGCAAATGCTGGCTGCAGTCACACCTTGGCTCAGGGAAGATAGGTGTTGGATGACCCCAGGAGCCTGGTGTCCCTCCTGTCGGCCGAGTTCTTCCTCCTCTTTAGCAGAGGGCTTTTTCAAGGGCAGGTCCGTCAGCTCTTCTGGGTGAGGAGCGCCGGGGATGTACGCTGCCAGCACAGCAGGGACTGCACACAGGCAGAGACCCAGCCTTCACAGAGCCTCCAAGCGAAGCTGAAGCTGAAGCTCCAAGCGCTGTAACCATCCCCATCATGCAGGTGCTGCCGACTCCTCCTCACACCAACGTGCGGGCGGCAGAGCGACACCACAACAAAAGCCGCTTCCTGAGCAGCCTGCAGCGTTCAGGGGCATAAACCAGGCACCGAGCGGGCCCTGCTCTGCGGCGAGGGTCTTGTGATGCTGTTCGGGTTGCGGCCCCTTCCTTCCTAAGGGCGGCTTGGAAAATGAAAGCAGACGACTCGGTTTCGCTTCCTGATTCTTGCCGGCCTTGCTTCCCGTTCCCTCACCTTGGCAGGCTGCTGCTCTCTTCTACACAGCGGGGTGATCAGATACAAAGCCTTTTTAACTATGCCAGATGAGTTTGGGGCAGGGGAGGGCGGAAAAACCCCCCAGCTTTTAAATGTTGGGCTTTCAGTTAAAAAGAGAACATTAAGCAAGAACAATGATGCTCCATTTCTCTCCTTCCCTTCCAAAAATTTAAATTTGGGATTTTGTCTAAAGACAGTAGCACTCACCTTTCTCTACCCATCCCCTTCTCACATGGGCACAGCGAACTCTCGTTGATGTAGCAGAAACACAGGGAGCACCTGCAAGCACAAGAGGTGTGAGATCTCCAGCCTGCTACATGATCGTTTTCTGATTTTTTAGGGCAGGAACCAACAACCAGGCTATATATTACTGAAACAGGCTGCAGCAACCTGACCCGAGCACCACAGGGCAGGGCAGCAAATCTGATGAGCACCAGATTCACATGGGGGACAGAGACGTGCGATACAGCTGCGTTTCACAGAACGGCTGCTGCACATAATGCAGCGAACGGCAAACTCCTGCTTCCCTGATTAACACGCCAGGCCCTGCACACAGGGAAACCCCAACGGTAACACACATGGGAAGATGTTTTAAATGTTTTCTGCTTATCTTATCTGCCTGATGCATTTCAAAGGTGCTGCGCTGCACTAATCACAGTGCAGGCTTTCCCAGGGCATACCAGAAGAAGCAGCACTACAGAAGCCCCAGCGTCTCTGTAAGATACATTAAAAAACCAAAACAAACAAATACCCAAAACATTCTCTTTGTCCCTAATGTTTAGTTAAAATCCAGCTGATTTTATGCTAAGATCTAGTCTCACTCTGCTGGGACTGGAAACCTCCTTTCTGAATCACCCACACCCTGAGCAGATCTTTTGGGAAACACATGAAAAAACCCTGTTTCTGAGCAGACACTGTGACTTCTTGCTGCAACACCTTCACTTCCAATCTCCATCTTTAGGCTCAAGGGCTGTCTTTTCTCCTTCCATGTGCCAGAAGCCTCTCCTGACCAGCAGCCTAAACCAGCAATCTGTATGCATGGAGTTAGCAGGATTCAGGATGTTCAGATGCCACAGTTGGGGGTAAGATTTAACGACGTAAATACCCGTGAAGAGAAGTACCACCACAGGTTCCCAAGCATATACAGCCACCAATCATTATTACTGCTTTTTATTTGAAATTTCTGAGTGGCCAGAAGCCATCCACCAACTTGGTGTGGTGGTGGGGAAGCATCCTGCGCTCCCCCTGGTGAGGCTGAGCAGCACTGCAGAGCGGCACCGCACAGCGGCACCCCGCGCCAGCCTGGGACAAAGATGGTTCAGAGCGATACCGAGACAGAAACCGTCCAGACAGCTGGGTTTGGCGTCATGCCTGCAAGCGAAGCAAGAGCGAGGGAGACACACGCTGCCTGCACCCTGCTTGAAGGTGCCGCACAGAGCTTGCACTCTGTTGAGACGAACTACTTCAAGTTCCTTTCAAGCCATGACCTGGTCCCTGTTGGCGCTTCTTGCTGCTGCTCCAGCACAGCGAAAGCAGTGCAGCAGCTCCACAGGAAGACAACCCCAGCAGAGGAGCCAGAGAAGCAGCAAAAGTTGCAGCCAAAGCAGAGCATGCCGCAGCTCTCTCGGGCTCCAAGGTGATGCAGCGAGAGCTCAAGAACAGCGGCTGTAACAGCAGCACAAGGGCTGTTCCAGGGTGTCTCGGTGGCTGCTGCGACACTTAAACCAGCCCTTGATCTGAAGCACAGAAAATGGCACACTGCCCCCTGCTCTTCCTCTCTTCCAGATCTGGTCCTGCCACTGAAGAAATAACACAACTGATGAGCAATAAATAACCTTTATTTGTACGACACACCCCACAACTTTCTTTTGCTTTTCCAGACAAGCACTGGGCTTCTGTTACCAACTTGCCTTTTAGCTCAAGAAAGGACATTTTCCAGAGCCTAAAAATTCAAGCCAACAGATTCACATAATAAAAACTGTTTTGGGAAAAAAAAAAAAAAAAAATCAGTAAGAATCCATATACATCCATACCATCCGGGTGTCCAGTTTTGGAGTCGATATAGAGCACTTGGCAGAGATCAATCCCAGAACAAGTGACATGACAGCTACCCGTGCCAGCATTTCCTGGATATAATGCAATACACCCACACCCAAGCAGTATTAAATCCAGAATTGTTCCTAGTTTAGACTTTACTACCCTAATAGAGCGCCACAGCGGGGAGGACAGCCAACCTTTGCTTCAGAACTGGGTTTAGAGAGGAAACACACCTTAAGTCACCTTCCCCTCAGCCACACTACGCGTACAAGACCAATAGCAAAGTGAAAGAGGCAGAAGAGGTTTTCAGCTGCATTTCTTTTGTGTGTTGGTCAGTGTTGTTTCGTGGCTGATTATTTCTATGTTCAACCCAAGACATTTCCATCTCCCACCCCCTGCTCAACCACCACCTACGGGCGGGCACGGTGAAGATTCAAGTACGGACCACACACACTACAGAATTACTGTAGAGCTACCTAGTTTTGAGAGGGGTGAGTAAGAGAGGAGTCCAGGAGAAAACATGTCATCATCCAAGCCAAAGATGTGAATCTCATGTCCATAAAGCAAATGTTACCACTGAACACACCGAGTGGACAGGAGAATGAAGCACTGGCTTTGGGAAGGACCTCCTCAAAGAAAGGTAACAGAGTTTCTAAGTTTCTCCTTCGCCAAAGGCAGGGTTTTCAGGTTCTAACACACACAAGGAGGGTGTCAGGAAGCAGTGGGAGGTGGTTATTTCTGGTCCCACAAGACATTTTTGTTCTGGGACAACTTCACTGCCTGGCTCTCATCTGCTCTGGAACAGCACACAAGCGCCACGCATGTACTTGTTCCATGTGCAGGGGTTTCTATTGCATCAGATTGTTAACCCGTTTATTCTTATTTGTTTATATTTCACATTAACAAATATTTCAGTATTTAAGTGACATAGCAACCAGCTATACCATGGCCTGGGAAAAG